AATTAAAAGATGGGACAAATACATCCCACCGTGCATGTAGGAAGTGCTGCTACTAGATAGCAGCACTGTTCAAATTTTTTTAATTCAAGTATCATGTTCATTTCGCATATAGATAATGCAAATTTATACTTGCAGTAATGTTAAAATTTGAAAAAGATTTAGTATGTTCTCTGAAAGAAATGAAAATATAACTCTGTAACATGAAATGTATTAAATACTGAATGGATATGCGAGTGTGATTCACCATACAAAAATATCTTAAACAAAGGAAAGAGAGGTGAAATGTAAATCATGTTAGCCTTCTAAATATCTTACTTTTCAGACTTGTAGCAAATAAAATACAGGAGCGAAAATCTTCTCTGTTTCAAATCTATCATGAAATCATTAAAAAATATCTAAAAAGTTGTACATTTTTTTTAAAAATTATGTATTTTTTAAAATAATATTTTTATTTTGCAAATATGATCAATATTTTCTAGATAAAACACAAACATTTTTTATATCTTGCATTTTCATTTGGTTGCTAAAACTAGCACTTTATATAAGCATGTTAGGAGAATGTATACTCACACAAAGATGACATTTTATTTATTGCTCTAGATGCACAGTAGGACAAGCGGTATCCCACCACGTCATAAATTACCTTAACCCTTTGCGACACGCATATTAAAAAAATATTTTAATCTTTAAAAAAATGCCTTAGAATAAGTCAGTTGGACTTACTTAAGTGCCTTTCAAGCTTGAAAAAATTCTGCGTTTTTATTTTTTACAGGGGAAGGTGGGATGCAACTAGCACATGTCTTATAGCATATTGGTGTATAGCAGGGAAAAAATCATATGTGGAATGAATAAACAAAATAAAGCGTGCATTCTAAAATATTCATAATAAACACACTAAAATGCATTTTGCATTTTGTACATATATTTATATATTTTAAATTTTAGGAACAAAAGAAAATATTTTCTTGGACATTAAGATTAAAATTTGATACTCGTACATATGATACTAAATAAAATATTAAAATTGGCACTTGGTTCAAAAACATTTATATATGATTAAAATTGAAAAAAGTTATTTTCCATGAAACTTTGAAAAACACATTGTTTCATTCTTTTGTAAGCATAGAGGCATTTCACATGTTTCACACATCCAAAATGTTCGTCGTTCTTCTTTCGATGTGCTGCAATATGCACATTTCCTGCTCATTCTCTTGGCGTGTGACTTACATTTTTTAGTCTCTTTTCTGGTTGTACGAACGGTTTTTTAGTTTTTATTTGAACTGGGGATTTCAGTTTTCTTTTCAGCTCTTTCTTGTCTGCAAGTGCCATTAGACCTTCTATAACTGAGAGATGAAAATCTTTCATTGTTTTTACATCATGATCGGGTTCGCGAACAAACTTAAATAGAATAAATGTGTTTACTATACTCGCATCTAAAAAGTAAAAAAAGATCCTGTGCCACCATTTCTTGCTTTTGCGGTCTATTTCATATAGTCCTTTCAGTTGGTCAAATAAGTCGACATATCCCATATTCTTATTATATGAAATAATGCTGTTTGGGCACAGTACTTTTTTTGTTTTTTGTTGTTATTGTTTTTCCATCTCGTTCTTTTCTATTAATTTCTTTCATTTCAGTTGCCTTTTCCAAGCAAGACAGGATAGAAACGGATCTTTTATCCTTCCATTTTTATGCAATAAATTGAATCATCGCTAACTGAAAAGTCTATATCTCCTCTCGACATAAATTTGTCTTCTTTTAAATTTTTGGGTAGATACTTCCGATTCATATTTACAGTGCCACATGCATAGATGGTCTGTGTCTTTAAAAGGCGAAACAAATTATAACTACTTCCCTTTCTTCTTCAGCAATAACTTCAACCTCAGCTATTCTCTCCTGGATTTCAATTTCATCTGAATCAGAACTGACATCTGAAGCATTTGAGTCGCAATCGGATGGCAATTCAGCAAAAAGATCCGAAAGCTTTAACTTACTGAGTTGTTATTCATTTTTAGATAATTCTAGACATTTTAGCACATCAGAAGCATACAACGGATGTAAAAGTGCACGCGCAATCACGAAAAAAGTAGATGCAAAAAAGAAAAGAAAAAATAATCGTGAGTGCTGCCATCTATTGAGCGGAAATTCAAGTGTGTGGTGGGACAAAATTTTAACCCACTTATTTCAACTGCAAAATTAATGTTATAAAAATATTGAATCCAATTAAGATTTTTGAAAATAAAATACCTTTGAATATTAAAAAAGAATCATACATATCCTAAATTGTATACCAAAATTTTTAAAATATTGAAAAATGCGAGATACTGGAGATATCATTCTTGTGATCCTATTTTGAATATTTTTTGCTTATAAACTTAAGCTCTGGTATAGTAGTGACATCTACTGGAAAAATAATAACTAAAATCGATTACTTTTAAAAGATTAGAAAATTTCTAATGGAAATTGCTAACTGAGAAAATAAATATTAATTAGGTGGGACACATATTGACCCACCATGCCGCAAAGGGTTAAAGATTTACCTGTTTTTTTGCATGAAATAACATTGTATTAGGAGTTAATTATCTATGTGTAAAGTTACTTTTTCAAAAAAAAAATTTTTTTTATGCACCGAACCTCAAAGGCTTAAACTATCTGACAAACAAATTCATTAAAATTAAAATCACCAATCATTCCAGTGGCCAAAAATTTTTAATGGTGTTTAAGCTCCTGCATGGCTTCACTGCCTTTTCCAGTCATGAAAATTTTTGTCATTTGATATATAATAGATTCCAATTTAAAATATTTTGTTTTCTTATTTCCTTTAATGTAAATATCATCATGAAAATTTAGTAAAACAAAGACTAAAATACATAAATATAAAAATTTAGTTAATAGAAGCTGTTTAAATATAGATCTTCAGCAGCCGATCAAAAGCTGTGCCATACAGAGAATCAAAACTGGGAGGGGGAAGTCATTTCCTTGGTAAATTTGGCACTACATATATTCCTTGAACTATAAAACTAAATTGTGTAGTTCCACAGTATCTTTTATTATGCCATTTCCCGATCCTCATACTTTTCCTATGCTTCAAGAATATCAGTATAACCAGTCCCATAACCTTGAAAATAATTAACTGCTTACTTTTTGTAAAATGTAGTTCCAAAAGTTTAACCACTTGCGCTAAAAAGACGTGCCAAGCACGTCTAGATGCTTTCGTCTCAAACCGCGAGCGACAAAAACACCACGTTGATAGGCATTTATCGCAAAATGAAAATAACGTGGTGCACACGTCGCCTAACAATAAGATTGTTTATTTCTCGAGTTACAGTGTAAAATACAATGAAGACATTTTTCACCTTGTCACATTTTCCTGAAGCCTTCTAAAATTGTGTGTCTGTAAATCTTGGCTTCAAATCCTTCTAAACTTTCCAGGATGCAATGTTTAAAATTCTAAAGAAAAATTAGCCCTACCAATTCTGTAACAGAATAAAAGCCGAACATATTAAAAAAAAAAAAAAATATGGAAGAAAGCATAAAATTAATTTTAAAGAGAAAACAGATGCATATTCTCTCAATTCTGAAACAATTACATGGAAAAAAATTTAAACATGCAAAAGTTTAAAAAAAAAGGAAGAAATTTTGAATTAATTACATAGCTAATTAATTATATAGCTAAGAATTATTTTGTAAACTGTATAGCAATTATTACCTCTTTTATTTTTCAGATTCAAAATACTGTATAATAAGTCGCCAAAATGGAAAGTAATGTCACTTTATAATATGACAGCAAAAAAATGAAAATGTTTTATTTTAATGTTATTCCTTAAACATAATTTCAATATATTATCATTATTTTAGTTAAATTTATCAATGTTATACTGTTTCCAAAAAATTGTCGAAAAAATTCCAAGATCTCCAAATTAAAAATTTTCTATCGAAACTCATCTTAAAATCACCAAAATGTTGATAAATTGCCAAATTTAGAGCCATTTAATAAAAGAATTCACATCCTCCCCAAAAGTGGAAAGTTGTTTAAGAGCTCTTCATTAGGGAAAGAAATGAAATAATTTTGAAATGCTTATGTTTAAATCCTTACTCAGAAACTCCAGTATCATACCCTTTATATTAAACAAATTATAACTCATGAACCCATTCAAAAGATAATATTTGTCAATGAATCACCAAAAATATTCCACCAAAATGAAATAATTAACAAAAAAAAAGCACGAAAAAAAAAAAAAAAAAAAAAAAAAAAAAAAAAAAAAAAAAAAAAAAAAAAAAAAAAAATCAAAAAAAAACAAAAAAAAAAAAAAAAAAAAAAAAAAAAAAAAAAAAAAAAAAAAAAAAAAAAAAAAAAAAAAAAAAAAAAAACACAAAAAAAAAAAAAAAAAAAAAAAAAAAAAAAAAAAAAAAAAAAAAAAAAAAAAAAAAAAAAAAAACTGACCTTCTGCTGATTTTGGCCAAAATTAAGGACTTTTAAGGACTAAAAATCAATTCCAAAAAACCTAAGGACTTTTAAGGACTCTTAAGGACCGTACGAACCCTGAATTTAGTCATCCTTGATATATACAGATAATTACTATAAAATACAATCAATGTCATAACTTCAAAATAAAATATCAGTTTCTCTCTTTAGTTATTGTAGTTTGAGAATCTCTTATTAATAGCATAGAACAAACTTATTAATAGCATAGAACAAACTTATTAATAGCATAGTTTTCAAATTTTAAGATTAATTCATCAAATGAATGAACCTTTTTCTTCCCAAGAAATGTACTAGCACTGCAGTGAGATAATTGAAAAAGATTTTTAAAACATAATTTCATAATCACTTGTACTGTAAAAAAGTAACTTACTCTGACTGTACTATAAATCCCTCAGGATTACAATTTTAAGAAGTAAATTCATATCACTTTATCATTTAATTACAGATAGTTTCCATGACATCTCTAAACAGCTAAAGTAATTTATGAGTTCTCGAAATAAGGCTGATGCATAATACCTGTAACATACTGGCTCATCTGCTTCAATGTAACTCCCTGATTCTGGGCAGTCCTTACTTATGTGGCCACCTGCTCCACAGTTATAACACTTCCTTTCATCTTTGTCAGCTTCTGGGCAGTCACGAGAAATATGGCCTATTTTACCACAGCCATAACACTGAACAAAAGAAAAAGTTGATTTTATTGTTAATTAACTGACTGGGAAAAAGGATTAAAATTGCTCATGCCATATTACATTTAATAGATTATGTTTATAAGAAGAATTTTCCATACAATACATAACTTAGCAAACATTCCTAATACAAAAATTACAATGTCAAAAATGTAAAATTTTATATTTCAAATTTCGTCTCATTAGTTATGATATCTTGTCATTGCCTCCATTTGTATAATTACAAAAGTCTTAAAGACAACAAAAATACTAACAGTGTTTCCCTGTAAATCCTTTCAATCTGTAATGGTCCTAAGTAGCTCTGCCAGTAGCAGAGTATTCCTTCCCTCTTTTCTACCTTAACAGCCAGAAAAAGGGGAAAGAATTTAGAAATTCATGAGAAAACCATTGTTCAGCTGTTAAGAGTACCTTTTCTCTGTTCTAGTCAGCTATACTGACTTCCTAGAGAGATGTGAATTGCATTCATGTGGTAGTTTTTTTATTTGGTTTTTGATTATATGAAAGTAAAGGATGGGGCTTCATAATGGCCATTGAGGGATTGAAAGGTTTCCTTGTTAATTCTTTCTAGCCATCTAGGGCATAATGGCCCTAGATGGCTCTATAACAGCTATGCATAATAGATGTGATTTGGCTGATAAGAAATTCTTTCCTTATGTGAAGTTTTCTGACTTCCTAGAGAGGTACGAGCTGGTTTTACCATAGCAGTCTTAATTTGGTTTATGATGAGGTTTCCTAATGACGTGCTCATTATTTATTCACTTAAAGTAGACATCTTTTCTCCTTTTCAGAAGCTTGAATCCAATATTTTAATCAATACACACATTATTACATTATTCTGTAATTATCATTGGTGCCAATCTTGAAATCTGAAAATCTGGGAGGACTTTCATACCAAAAAAACAGGAGAAACCAACCATGCTGCGTGGAGAAGCCATTTCAAAGGAACTTTGAAACTAAGGAATGTGCATTTCAAAAGGAATTTTAAAACAAAGGAAAGTACATTTAAATTCACTTTATGCTGCATGGTTTGGGACACTAAATTATTGGCAATATGATTCTGATGCAAAATATATTAGCATTTAACTTAATATTCTAAATTTTATTTTCTTTAGTTAAAAGTGCAACTTAGAATATATATTAGATTTATGTACAGCATTGTTCCAACATAAATATTTTGACAGATAATCAAACTTTTTCAGAAATGGTACAAAATTTTTTTTCACATTTCAGTTCTATAAAACCAAATTTCCTGTGAAATTTAATCAGTAGTTCAGAGAAACATGGCAAACTTCTCAATTTAAAGCAACTTATTTAACTTTCCCTTTTGCTCTATGTATGTGAGAAAAAAAAAAAGTTTTTTTTTTTTTGGCACACATTTTAACTTTATATTACATTTTTAATCACAGTTGTTTTTAGATATTTTATTTCATTTTAGAATTTAATTTGTATTATTTCAGTTGCATGATTCTTCAAATAGTTATTCGAAAAATTCCTATTTATTCATTCACATCGTGTTTTTCAAGATTTTTTTTCATATACATATGTGTGTGTATGTATGTATGTATATACACCAAAGAGCCATTACATTATGACCACCCTGTTAATAACATGTAGGACCACCTTTAGCTCTCGAAACTGCCAACACCCGGCGTAGCATTGACTCCACAAGGTGCTGATATGTAGTCTGAAGTTTCTGGTACCAGGCACTCACCAACTGATCCTGCAATTCCTGCACATTGCGTGAGAGTAGCATGGCAGCACAAATTTGGTTTCCCAGGTGGGACCACATATGCTCTATTGGATTAACGTCATGTGAATTTGGAGGCCAAGACATGACCTGAAAATCGCTGGCATGTTCCTCAAACCATTCCCTGACAATTCGACCCTTATGACATGGTGCATTACCCTGTTTGTAAACACCATCCTCCGACGGAAATACTGTAATTATGAATGGGTGAACCTGGTTTGCAACGATGTTCACGTAGCACACAGATGCCCGGGATTGTTCCATTGGGATTATGGGTCCTAATATGCCCTATGAAAACACTGCCCACACCATAACAGCCCTGCCTCCGGCTTGTCTCTGTTCAACTATGTATCCGGGAGCTAGGTTTCATTTGGAAATTGGTGTATTAGCACACACCCATCGATTTGATGGACAAGTAAACGTTCTAACGCCCAATTCCAATGTTTTTCGGCCCACTGCAGGCACAGCTGGTGATGATGTGCAATCAGTGCAGGGACATGCTTCGGCCTCCAGCTGCATAGGCAAATATGTAGCAATGTACGTTGCACAGTGTGTTAAGAAACACTGTCTGAATCACCACTGTTGTAGCTGGGGTGATTTCAGCTGCTGTAGCAATTCGGTCATGGCAAATAATGTGTAGCAATCTCCACTCTCCCTCTGGAATAAATGTGCTGCCGACAACACAATGCTGGCCGGCGACTCCCCATCCATATACCACTTTTCAATATGTGCTCATAACAACTGCACGTAAACAGCCCACTAAATGTACCATTTCTGATACTGATGTTCCCAGTCACCGAGCCGTAATGATTTGACCTGCAGTTGTTATCTAGCAATGGAAAAATAAAATTGCTTCAAGTCTTTCGTAATGCATTTTTTAGCTCTTTCTTCACATTTCGTGAGAAAATGGTAAAGTGATGCAAGTAAATGAAGTTCTGTTTCGTTATATTCTGTCCTTATATATGTAGCTAATTCACCATGATGCAGTTTTTGTTCAAAATAAATTTAGTAGAAATTCACACCCAAATGTTATTGTACTATAAAAAGATCACTGGGCATTCGGGATTCAGGCATAAGATAGTTGCTTTAAAATTCTTCTTTGGACAGAAAATATGAATAAGAGAATATTAACTAATGTGCAAGATGCAGTTGAATACTTGTTTTCTAAGAAAACTCATGCTGATGCTATTGCTGTACCACCTGAAGTTAATGAACTGACGGAAGATGAGAATTTAGATGCTCTATTTACACGGGATACTTCTGAGAAAGTTGAAGTGATATCAGCAGAGGATGAATCTAAAAAAATGGAATTGCCTTTCCCTTCTCAAAATAACTAGAAAGCTAAAGCCAAAAAATAGTTGAGACAATGAAAACACCAAATTATATAAAGTAGATGGAATCAGAGAAAAAAAATATAAAGATTATCTTATGGCACAGGAAACTGACACAGAAAATACATTTCCAGTTGCTGTGTTTGGAAAACACTTTTCCAATGAGGTATATGATTTAATTGCAAAAGGGAAAATTTGCTACACTAAGAATGTTAAAAACAATTATGATTTTAATATTACCACAGAAAAGATAAAGATATTAATACTGCTTTTAATTTTTTCTGGCTACCATACTTCCAATTGAAAGAGATTACTAGAGCAAAGCAAAAGACTTGGCTATTGAGTTGGTTCAGAATCACTTTCACTACGAATGCTTACTCAAAAACTAAAATCATATACAGTGGAACTTGGCTATTGAGTTGGTTCAGAATCACTTTCACTACGAATGCTTACTCAAAAACTAAAATCATATACAGTGGAACTTCGAGATACGAGCACCTCTATATACGAGAAATTTGAGATACGAGGAAAGTATGAACAAAACATTTGTCTCTAAATACGAGCATCGACTCGAGCAACGAGCCAGGCTGTTGGTATGCATGGCGCCCTTTCCCGATCCCTCTCGACTTGGGGAATCCCCTCCTCAGATCACTCAGTGTTCTTTGATCTACGTGTTTGAACATTTGAGAATTAATTGTTTATTACATTAAATGTAAAAGTAATTATTTCACGATGCCTCCCAAGAAGATTGCTGTCTCAGATAGCGCTGCCAAAATAAGGAAGTCATGGCCGCTGCCAAAATAAGGAAGTCCAAAAATTAAAAGTCATGGCCGTTGAAATTAAGAAAGAAATCATAGATAAACATAAGCATGGTGTAAGAGTGATAGAATTAACGAAGACTTACGGTCTTTCGACATTGACAATCTATTGTATTCTGAAGAAGAAGGAAGAAATTAAGAAACTTGATGTAGCCAAAAGAGTTACCATTACTTCCAAGCACCATCCAAAACTCCTAGAAGCTGTTGCTAGTGTGAATTAACGAAAAGCAGTTAAAAGGTCGGTGTCGGAAGCTATCATAAAGGTAAACTACGGTTATATTATTCACCAGTGTTAATTATTAGAAAAATTGATTGTTATGTTGGTATTTTGGGGGGTGCCGAACAGATTACTGTATTTCCATTAATTTGAATGGTTAAGTTTGTTTCTAGATATGAGAAATTCACTATACGAGCTCAATGCTAGAACAGATAAAACTGGTATCTCGAGGTTCCACTCCATTCATTTCCAGGACAATTCTAAAGCTTTTGAAAATAAGCATGACAATCAAGACCTCTCACCATTTTTAATTAACTGCAATACAATTTTATGTAAAAATTGTTTTACAAAATTTCACATAAAATTGTAAATAATACATTTCATTATTATCTCAGTTTTCATAATATATATATATTAAAGTGCTTTGTTTGTATTTTTTATCAATTTACATCTTTTAAAAGCTTTAGAAACTGAATGTCATATTTAAAGTGCTGCATTAATTATTATATTTTATTATTGAACAAATTATTTTTTAAATGTTTCTAAACATTCTGAATGTTTAAAGTGGTGTATATCTATTTCTCCCCCTTTTTAAACATTTTTTGAAGTGCTACTAATATGTCTGTTATATGATAAAAATCTGATGTGTACACCACATGACTTCCTTGTACGGAATATTAAAATTATATGCATTTTTTCTTGCATTTCATTTAAACTTATTAGACTGAATTAAACCTAGTTCGCCGACAGCGCATAAACCACAATAGAATAAATGCATTCTTTAAAATTCACTTTGTTTACCATAGCGACACTCTGGCACTAGGTTTACTTAACAGTATTATATTTCGTTCATATTATAACGCAGAATGCAC